AATTAATATGTCATTTTCCAACCCCGAATATATTACAAAGCATATGCTATGACTATACAATTTTTGCAATTAAATTAGCTCTCCAATTGAAAATTTATTTCATCTTTCCACCTAACAGCTTAAGGTTTCGGGTTGATACTTCAATTTTATATCACAACCACCAAATCTAGCTCACCTTGGACCCACTTAAGAAGCTCACTTTGAAATAGACAACCTTAGTCCTTCTCCCCTAATAGGTTAAGGATTTAAGTTTTTTGTTTGTTTGTTTGAAGGTTTTGAATTAGAGGAGTACACTAATTTTCGTATTTCAGTATTATACAATAATTGAGAGAGAGAAAGAGAGATCGAGCTTGAGACTTACGACGGTGTATACATAAAATACTTAAGAGGAGGAAATAGAGAAAAGAGCCAGTTTGGAATGAGCTCGAAATTGCAGTGCCCCATGTTGTTCATGAAGTCAATGTAAGTAACATAACCAGCAAAGGATGCCATAGAAATAGTTCTCGTCAATATAGTGGCCAGAATTGGTATAAAGAAGAGCGCAGAATATACCATGTGCTCCGCAAATGGATGAATCACAGCTGCAACAAATTAAACATTTATTAAATGATGAATCTAAATAAGTAACATTCGTAATTAAACATTGAAATAATTTTCTTTATTATTTGGTTCTTACAAGTAATTGGCTGAGTAACGATTGAGGAATGGTGATGAGAATGGTAGCGAGAGTAGAGGTAATGATGGTGAAGTGCTCTGTGAAACCAATAATACAGGAACTCCACTGGACCAGCATGAAGCACAATGCTTAGAAGAACTCCATGTGGCCTCCAAAGTGGCAGCTTTTGAGCCCCAGGCAGGTGCCTGCTGCCTGTGTAGAATAGAAGTGCATTGAACAATATCTGGTCATCCCTGCACTCCAAACCGAAACAAATTAAATAAATAAGTATTTGTTTAGCCACCTAATTTTCTCTTTTATACCAGCGATATTAGGGATAGGGGGAATCAAACATAAGAACTCGAATGTAGGGGTAAATACTCTTAACCAATTGACTGATTGTTTAGTCATCTTATGAGTTATATATTATACATGTTTTTTATGTTTATTAATTTATACTGACCAATTGTTTTCTCTGTCGACCTGTTCGAATTCGAGACCCCTGTCAAGGATTCGGCCATTGCCTTTGGCAGTTCGATATCGAGACAGAGAGATCCAAATCTGGTTGTGGATGATCCTCCACAACACCACTCCAAGCATGAGGAAGTATGAAACGTCTCTTTCTTTTGCATCGTTAGCCACAAACAACCAGGTGCTGTGGATGATCCATGGAGCCAAGATCACGTACTGCATGCATATATATCCCGGGCCCATATAAAAGTTAGAACACCAAAATATGCTCAAATATATATATATATATATATGATGAAGCTGGACAGAAAACAATGGAAGTATGTAGTGAGGTATGGCTTGTATACGTAGCTTGCAGTTCGACATGTCATATAATATGCAGGCATGAACAAGAGAGAGAGAGAGAGAGAGAACCTTGAGGCTTCCAAGCCGTTTCCATGGCCACTCAGTAAGAATTCCAGGCACAGAAGCCATGTTCTTCTTTGTTTCTTTGTAGTCTAGCTTTGGAGGAGTATATGATATATATATATAGGGCTTGTCCAATATAGGTCCCTCCAATTTCTATTTTCTAGACATGTGCCCATCATTCTATAAATCTATGTGTAAAACCCAATTTCAAACTTAAATGACCAATAGGATATAAGAGGTCATAATATTCTATGTTTTTACATTGTTGCCATCAGACTTCATATTTTATTTATAATTTATTCCAAGCATTTCATTAACTGCCATAATTGTAATTAAAACTCCCTATTAATAGCATATCAATCACCCCATTTCTTTTGGTTGCCATTCCCTCTAACATATCTCCCCCTAAAATTGCAAACCAAAAATAAAATATGTAAATTACATATCCAATAATGTACATATGAAAAATATAAATATAAATATAGGTATATTATTTAACAAAAAAATAAATAAAAAAGCTAGGTTAGTTACTTTGCAATTGAAATTTCCATACATTTTTCATAAATTAAAAATAGGTATACAATAATTTATAGAAAATAGGTACATTGTATAATTGAAATTTGTGCACATTTTTTTATAAATTAAAAATAGGTACATTATTTAGAAGAAAAAAAATAAGTTCATTATATTAGGTCAATTGTTTTACTAGGTATACATTATTAGAGAGAAAAAATAGGTACATTATTTAGAGAAAAAAATAGGTTCATTTAAAAAAAATTCATAAAACAAAAAATAAATAGATTATCAAATTATTTTTCATAAAACAAGTAATA